AGTTCAACATGTAAGAAGTAGAAAGTACAGGTATTTGGGTTCAACATGTAAGAAGTAGAAAGTACAGGTATTTGGATTAAAAACGTAAGAAGTAAAAAGTCAAAGTAGTGGAGTAAAGTACTGATACCAGAAAAATGTACTTAAGTGCAGTAACAAAGTATTTGTACTCCACTACTTCACACCTCTGACTAGGACATGTCTCCATGCTTTAATGTTCAAAAAGCTCTTTATTGTTCTCATGCTGCCTGTGCTGCAGCACCTCTTTTCACCCTCTGTCTGAAACCAGAGCCCAGTCTGCTCTGATTGGTTAGCTGGCCGGCTCTGTTGTGATTGGTCAAATTCTAGCCAATAGAAGCATGAGTGTTACATAGTGATGTCATTATGTTCAGGAAGTAAACAAAGGAGTCCAACCGAGAGAAACTCAGGGATAGTGTAGTAATTATATATATAGTCACATGACATGGAAGCCATTAAAATAAAACTGAAATTATCTCATACTCCATCCATCCATCTTCTCCCGCTTATCCGTGGTCGGGTCACGGGGGTAGCAGTTCTAGCAGAGAGCCCCAAACGTTCCTTTCCCTGGCCACATCAACCAGCTCTGACTGGGGGATCCCAAGGCGCTCCCAGGCCAGCGAAGAGATATAATCCCTCCACCTGGTCCTAGGTCTACCCCTTGGTCTCTTCCCAGCTGGACGTGCCTGGAACACCTCCCTAGGGAGGCGCCCAGGTGGCATCCTAACTAGGCGCCCGAACCACCTCAACTGGCTCCTTTCGACACGAAGGAGGAGCGGTTCAACTCCGAGTCCCTCCCGGATGACTGAACTTCTCACCTTATCCCTAAGGGAGACACCAGCCACCCTGCGGAGAAAACCCATCTCTGCCGCTTTATCCGCGATCTCGTTCTTTTGGTCATGACCCATCCTTCATGACCATAGGTGAGGGTAGGAACCAAAATGGCCCGGTAGACAGAGAGCTTTGCCTTCTGGCTCAGCTCCCTTTTCGTCACAACGGTGCGGTAAAGCGACTGCAGTACCGCTCCCGCTGCTCCGATTCTCCGGCCCATCTCACGCTCCATTGTTCCCTCACTCGAGAACAAGACCCCGAGATACTTGAACTCCTTCACTTGGGGGTAAGGACTCATTCCCTACTTGGAGTGGACAGTCCATCGGTTTCCTGCTGAGAACCATGGCCTCAGATTTGGAGGTGCTGATCTCATACTAAAATACTTTAAAATTATTTAACAAAGAGTCAGTAATCCAGAAAGTGTGCTGTTGGCATTGTAGTTTTGTATAAACATGTAGTTAAAAATGCTCTTTCCAATCAGCTAAGGGAATACTTTGCACAGATTAAATCTTGCCTTAAATGTATTTACAGTGGAGCTGATTCAAGATGAAGGTGTTCAGGTGGTTAAACAGTGAAACTCTCCTGCTCTTACATCAGTTTTCCTCCCGAAGCTGTTATCTTTGCCGGCTGCTTGTCACTCTCCCACCTCTCCATCTCATCACCAATCTTTCCCGTAATTATACATAATTGGTTTTGTGTAACAGAAGTCATTCATGCCGATAATCTCTCACTTGTCTCCGTGAGAACAATGAATGTTAGATTACACAGATTCACGCTTTACTGGAGCTTGTCATACTCTACACGTGGCTGATCTGCAAAGTGTCTGACTGTAAGTGAATCAGAGTTTAAAAACGTCTCCAATTCATCGCAATTTGAAGCAACTAGAGTAGGGTGTCAAGTGATAACAGAATATTTGAATTCATTAATGTGAAAATCACGCCTTGATTGGTAATAAAATGTCTAAAAACGAATCTTTTAAAAGCCCTACAAATGCTCAATTATGATATCCAGGGTTTTATGAATCGTTTTGACTTTCTGTGGTGTGAAATCTGAAAAAGATTGGTTACATCTATTTACTAAAATGTACTTGTCATACAATGTTCAGTTTCCACTAACAAATCCTGAAACACTACTCTACTTTCTTTTTTTCTTTTTTTTTGGGCCAGAGTGCCTTTATTCCAGAGAGGGTGTTAAATTGAGAGATAGAGGGGAAGACATTGCCTGAAAACTTCGGCGGGCTCGGGTTTCAAACCCACCTACTAGCTACTGTAGTGACAACCCACCTACTAGCTACTGTAGTGACAACCCACCTACTACTGTAGTGACAACCCGCCTACTAGCTACTGTAGTGACAACCCACCTACTAGCTACTGTAGTGAGAACCCACCTACTAGCTACTGTAGTGACAACCCACCTACTACTGTAGTGACAACCCGCCTACTAGCTACTGTAGTGAGAACTCACCTACTAGCTATAGTGACAACTCGCCTACTAGCTACTGTAGTGACAACCAACCTACTAGCTACTGTAGTGACAACCCGCCTACTACTAGCTACTGTAGTGACAACCCGCCTACTACTAGCTACTGTAGTGACAACCCGCCTACTAGCTACTGTAGTGACAACCCACATACTAGCTACTGTAGTGACAACCCACCTACTAGCTACTGTAGTGACAACCCACCTACTAGCTACTGTAGTGACAACCCGCCTACTAGCTACTGTAGTGACAACCCACCTACTAGCTACTGTAGTGAGAACCCACCTACTAGCTACTGTAGTGAGAACCCACCTACTAGCTAGTGTAGTGACAACCCGCCTACTAGCTACTGTAGTGACAACCCGCCTACTAGCTACTGTAGTGACAACCCACCTACTAGCTACTGTAGTGAGAACTCACCTACTAGCTAGTGTAGTGACAACCCGCCTACTAGCTACTGTAGTGACAACCCACCTACTAGCTACTGTAGTGACAACCCACCTACTAGCTACTGTAGTGACAACCCACCTACTAGTTAGTGTAGTGACAACCCGCCTACTAGCTACTGTAGTGACAACCTGCCTACTAGCTACTGTAGTGACAACCCGCCTAGCTACTAGCTACTGTAGTGACAACCTGCCTACTAGCTACTGTAGTGACAACCCGCCTACTAGCTACTGTAGTGACAACCCGCCTACTAGCTACTGTAGTGACAACCCGGCTACTAGCTACTGTAGTGACAACCCGCCTACTAGCTACTGTAGTGACAACCCGCCTACTAGCTACTGTAGTGACAACCCACCTACTAGCTACTGTAGTGACAACTCACCTACTAGCTACTGTAGTGACAAACCACCTACTAGCTACTGTAGTGACAACCCACCTACTAGCTACTGTAGTGACAACCCACCTACTAGCTACTGTAGTGACAACCCACCTACTAGCTACTGTAGTAACAACCCACCTACTAGCTACTGTAGTGACAAACCACCTACTAGCTACTGTAGTGACAACTCACCTACTAGCTACTGTAGTGACAAACCCACCTACTAGCTACTGTAGTGACAAACCACCTACTAGCTACTGTAGTGACAACCCACCTACTAGCTACTGTAGTGACAACCCACCTACTAGCTACTGTAGTGACAAACCACCTACTAGCTACTGTAGTGACAACCCACCTACTAGCTACTGTAGTGACAACCCACCTACTAGCTACTGTAGTGACAAACCACCTACTAGCTACTGTAGTGACAACCCACCTACTAGCTACTGTAGTGACAACTCACCTACTAGCTACTGTAGTGACAAACCACCTACTAGCTACTGTAGTGACAACTCACCTTCTAGCTACTTTAGTGACAAACCACCTACTAGCTACTGTAGTGACAACTCACCTACTAGCTACTGTAGTAACAACCCACCTACTAGCTACTGTAGTGACAAACCACCTACTAGCTACTGTAGTGACAACTCACCTACTAGCTACTGTAGTGACAACCCACCTACTAGCTACTGTAGTGACAAACCACCTACTAGCTACTGTAGTGACAACTCACCTACTAGCTACTGTAGTGACAACCCACCTACTAGCTACTGTAGTGACAAACCACCTACTAGCTACTGTAGTGACAACCCACCTACTAGCTACTGTAGTGACAACCCACCTACTAGCTACTGTAGTGACAAACCACCTACTAGCTACTGTAGTGACAACCCACCTACTAGCTACTGTAGTGACAACTCACCTACTAGCTACTGTAGTGACAAACCACCTACTAGCTACTGTAGTGACAACTCACCTTCTAGCTACTTTAGTGACAACTCCTGTCATTAATTGCATCTCTGCGTTAATGATTAGATAATGTCACCTAAATTAAATCAAATTAAATTATGCTGATGGTTAAATTAGCTTCACATGTAGGCCTGAGTTCTGAACTTGCCATTTAGATCTATAAAGGCCTTGGGGCTATGTTGTTTGATCTAATTAAACACAATATATCCACTATGCTGTTGTAGTATTTACTGTATCTGAAGCTCTTAATATCAATCAATCAATGTTTATTTATATAGCCCAATATCACAAATGTTACATTTGTCTCAGTGGACTTCACAGTTTGTACAGAATATCAGTTAATATGATTGCTCATATTTCAAGCCATCTTTTTCCCGGCCCCTTGCTTTGAATAATTTTCATCAACCGGCCCCCATTCCAAACTAATTGAATAGCCCTGCTCAAGATGATAGGAAAGGAGGTTTGAAACTTTCTTTATAACCTGCAGTCGAATAGTCCAAAAATCAGCTCCTAACGTCTATCCCTATCGTCTATCCCCTGACCTCTGAGTGAAACGTCACGGGGTTAAGGGATAGTGGATAGGAGAATTCAAAAGGATTTAGGAGAAGAGACTGCGGTGCTTTCAGAATCCGACACTTTCACTATCCAACGTGCGTCTGCTGCTGTGGGGAAACTACAGTTTAGCGGACTATGGATGTATAATAAGAACCTGTCTGTCTTCTTCTGTTCATTTATCTGACGTCCAGCACTCCGTCTTTTAACCTCTTTTCCTGTCTCTCTTGATCCTCTTTAGCAACGGTCATTATAGTGCTTAACAGTCTGTCATATTGCCCCTGCCATGTAGTAAGAAATAGATAGAAAAATACACAACTACAAAATGGAAGCTGTTACAGAGTTTTATTTTGTCTCACACATGTTGGTCCTCAATAACAGCAGATACAAATAAAAGTAGTGACAACATTCCTGCCTAGCAACCACATTTCATCAGATGCATAGATAATAGTTCATGGGAATAAGAAACGTGTAAACAAAACCCAACATTTCACAGCTTCATGAAAGAAAACTAAAAACAAATCCTACGTAACATGAGTTTCTATTCTAAAACAATACTGAGTAACAACTTTTTACCTCAAAGCTCAAATATCATAGAAAAAAAGATCATTGACACCTTTAAGAACTATTCTAAAAACATATTGAAATGTTTTATTGACATTTTTACCAACACTGTAATAGCAGTACAAAGCTCATCCCTGACCAACAGAGTGTAGATGATGCTGTGGGAACACAGGATATCACAAACTGTAATATAACATTAATTATATCACCAACAGGTCCACTTCATGTTGTCAATTATCACTTTGGATAACTAAAACAACGAATCAATCGAATGATCAGTAATCGTTTAATTAAAGCAAGTGCTACTCCAAACATTTGCTGTTGTTTTTCAGTTCATTACTGATAATATGTGGGTTCTGATGGATTGTAATTGGGTTATTAAAGGTTTGATTTGAAGCCTTTTATCTTCCTAATTTGCCCATTGATTATGAAGTAAGGTTTGGCGCCTAATGTAGAAAGAAAGGAAAGAAATACTTTGGGTACATTTTGGACAATTACAAGTCCAAGAAATATCTGATGAGTTAAACTAAACTTGAAATTTGACACAGCTTTCATTAAAAAAGTAAATCAGAAAGCTGTTTAAGAGTACAGTCGATTTAGGTTTAAAATAATAATACAATTGGCCATTATATTGTCATAAAAAAAAAAGGTTAAATCCCCCCAAAACCCCATCAATGGTAAATAAATTCAGTACGAATTCCCCTCCTGTCTTTGAAAATATAAAACTGCACTTTTATGTCAAATCTATTGCTTTCACAGTATTTTAAGAGCAGGAAGACATTGAAATACTTTCAGAAACACTTTCATCTCAGACAGAACAATCAGGAGTAAAGGCACAAGCGTTGTTCAGATTGTCCGGTTGGTTTTATTGGCTCATAGTCCAGGAAAGAAATGGCGTCTGCTGGCGTCTGAAAAACAGATGAAAATCCTAGTTAGTCATCACTAAAGGAAAATAAATCATAACGCCTACATTTAATTGTTTTACCTCCAAGTCTACAAGTACTGTTTTTCCATTGTATTTTATGTCGCAAATTCGAAAAATAAGTCCTAGTGTAGTATGTCGAAAAATATTCACAAAAATACATCTGATACAGTTCTTGTTTGTGGGCGTGGCTTAATGACTTGGTACCGCCCCCACGTGTTCCACCTTTATGTATAAAATTGCTATTTATATGTACTATGTGGACATGTACAAAAAAAGAAAAATACCTAACAGGAATTCGGAAATGTTGAATATTAGGCAGTTCCATTTAATTTCCATTTTTTTTAAAAAGCGCTGTACTTTTTAAACTTGTTTTACAAATGTACCCCGATCAACTCTAAATTAAGTCGGCTTGATCTTAACGGCCCGTCCACACAGCGGTTGAAGCTTCCAACGCTTCTGCCCATTCACTTTGAATGGGGTGACGTCACTTTTAGCCGAACTGCATTTTGGGAAGCGACGTGGAGCGTTGCTCGCTTCAAAAGTTGAGCAATGTTCAACTTTTGACGGAGGCGTCAGCCAATGAAATCCCGTTTATGCAAATCTGCCAGTACAAGCGCTAGCCAATCAAACCGTGTGTATGCTGGGAGAGACTACGCAGGTCATTTCCTCATATTCCAAAAAATGGAGGGAAAATTCATTATAGCGGTAGTGAATCACCCGGTGCTGTATGATCAGTCTCTGTTCATCTACTGGGATACAAACCGGAGGAGCCAGGCATGGACGGAGGAGGCAGAGACAGTGGGTGAATCTGGTAGGTTTTCGCCTGTTTGGGGATTTTATATCCAGTTTACTTCGTTTTAACATTGCTATTGCTTTGTATGTCGGGGGCGGGAGATTCATGTGATTGGTTGTTGGTCGCAAAAAATCCCCAAGCTTCAGACCTCCAAGCGTCAACGCACGCTGCTGTGTGGACGCTCCGTAAGACCTTAACAATGTGAGTTTTCATAATAGACTGCATGGTTTTTATGAAACCAACGTGCAATTGTGTGGCAAGTTGTTGTAGCTCCAATGCACATTGTCCAAGCAGACCAAAATATGACATTATCTAATTCTAGGGAAGCACAGGGGGAAACTGAAAGTATAGTAACGTAGAAATGTCATGAAAAAAAGTCATAGTATACTCTGTCCAAGTATTTGAAAATAATTCATAATATAGAACATTTATGATGAACTTAGAAAGCAATAAAAGGTCTCCATTAAGACAAACGTTTTTAATTACAAGACGATCCACAATGAGCATCCTTCAACATTAGAAACAAACGTTATTGTACTTTAAACGTTGCGCAGCTCAATTTGAAACGTAAGATATACAATACCACAAAACCCTTTAAGAAACAAGTGTTTAATAACTCGTAAACGTCAAACTTACCCAGATTTATTTAGAGGATATCTTCTTCTTGGGGGATTTCTTTTTCTGGAAATGTAAGAAAGAAGGTTTTATAAATGAATGTAGAAATGCTGAATTATTGTGGGACAAAGCTGGTGCAGGTTTTTTACACTTAAAAGAAGACTTTTGTGCCTGTGAAGCTGACAATTGAGCGGCCCAGACCAAGCAAGGAGGCAGAGGCAGAACGTCCAAAATACAACCCGGTGTGGGCATTTATTACGTCATAAACATGACACAGCATCGATCTGCTGCCCACGCGTGAACACAGTCACCAGCCACCACCAGGATCTCACACACACTCTCTCAAACAGAAAAACCCCAGAGCCTAAATGCACAACCCAATCAACCCAACAGGACACAGGTGAGGGGGGAGGAGACAACACAGGGCACCAGGTGCACACAATCAACGGCAACAGACATGGGGAAAGGGGAACACATTTCAAAATAAAATACAATAAACACTACATCAATAAATAGTAGGCTATAAATTGTATAAAAATGCCCGAAGCCGTCAGTTCACAGTGACGAAGTTACCTTAGTCACTGTGCCCAAATGTTATCTTTCTTTGCAGTCAAACATGGGGATTAGACTATTAGATATTACAGTGTTGTTATAGAAGTTTGAGTTTCTTACCGTAGAAGAAGCCCGAGGAGTTTGTTGCTCTGCAGCCGGCTCTGCCTTTAGTCTGTTCTTCTCTGCGGACAAAACGTGAATATTAGTACATCGTGAAGTTAATATGTGTCATCTAAAAGACACGCCTTTTTTTAAATCTATATACAATCTGAATCATTAATATGTTAAGCTCTGTTGAGTGCCCCGATACACATTCCTGTTCGTCATCTTGCAATATACTCATTTGTATAAATAGTTATCACCGCAATAAACCGTATTTCATTTACATTATTTAATTTCATATTCTATGTACATGTATATAGACTTTTTGCACTACTTTTTATGTTGTATTTTATTATATATGTTGCAGGAGCTCAGGTACACTGTAGCTTTGTGCATATGACAATAAAACCTTTGAATTGAATTGAATGTGTAAGGCTCCAGCTCAGAGTGGTACTTGTGTCATTTTAAATATGTCTTTATAGCGTTAAGTTAATTTAACTCAATAGTGCAAAGATACAGCTCCAAATACCTTAAATATTAAGAACTATATATATGACTGTCACTCAAAATAACTTCTCAACACAGAAACTATTTAGTGCGCTTCAGAATTGATTTTAAACTTGTCTCGTTTGTGTCTAAAGACCTCCTAAGCGGCTTTAAATCCAAAAAACACACTTTGACTCCCTATCTGGCTGAAAGTGCTTATGCCTATGTGTTTGATTATTTGAGCTGCCGACAGACCACCATCTGAAGTAACTCCACTCAGACACGGGGCTGCGAACATATACAACGGGATGACTTTGCTTTTAAATGTCCTGTGTTTTTGTAATTAATGTTTACGTCGGTGTTTCTTTTATTTATTTATTTTATGAAAGGTTGTGTTGGCTGCCTGCTCTGTTCTGTACAGCACTTCGGTCAACGTGGGTTGCTTTTAAATAAATGTGATTGATTGAATTATTATTATTATTTAAATGATTTGTAAATCCTTAAAAACAAAAATCTCAAATGTGAAGGACGTGTTTTGATCGTAAGAATGACTCGATGAACATCGTAGTACGCCTCAGCCCTATGGAAATAGAATACATATGAAAATGACAATCAGAACGTCTCTTACTCTTCCTTGCAGAAACGTCGGGGCTCACAGTGTCGGGGGTCTCTGCAGTCTCCTCCTCTTCCTCGCTCTTCATCATCTTCTTCTTCTTCTTCTTTGAGAGTGGAGTGGAGTCGACTTCAGAAAGCTCAGCGCTCACCGCCTCGCTCTCATCCTCCGTCACCGATCCCTTCTTCTTCTGCTTCTTCTTTGGTGTTTCTTTTGGTTCAGGCGTCTCCTCTGTCTGAATCTGCTTTTGTCTGGGGGGGGGGGGATGGTAAATGTTATATAAATGACATATTATTCTTGTTATACGTTGCCTAAAGATATTTATGCATCTATTTGTTCCCTTTTTATTGAAAATATAATCATTTTTTAATCTTCTTTTATGCAGATAACCAAAAAAAAGACACTGCATTTTAGTTTCAAGCGTCCTTAAAGGGGACCTATCATGCAAAGTGCACTTTTTGATGTCTTTTATACATAAAGATGTGTCCCCGGTGCGTCAGGGAACTCACGCAGCGTCAGAAAGTAAAACCCTCTCTCTTTTCCTCCGTACCCAAATCTCTAAAAACGGGGAACAACGGAGCTGATCCAGATTTACGTCCGATATGACGTAATATCTGAAATGTGGACCCACGGCCCAATCAGAAACGTTGCTATCAGAAACAATGCCCGACTGCTTTGGACGTAATATGGTCGGTGTTTACATTAGCATCGCTAACACTCAGAGCTAACCTGTACTGGAGAGCATGTGTGTGAAGAAGCAGGAAGTAAAAAGGAACTCACCTTGTGGTATAACCGGCAAGAGAGAAAGCCTTTGAGCTCCAGACTGTTTCAGATCCTTGATAATCCATGATATGGCGTTTCATCACGGCAGCATTTAGTTTAGACAGTAGCTGCCGGGTCCCGCATGAGCTCAGACCCCTCCTTTTTTATTAAAGCTTTATACCCCAAATCAGCACTTTTGAAACAGGAAGTGAACTAGAGGGATATGAGGCATGGCTAGAATGATCTGTTGGGTTTTTTGAGCAAAACACTTCATAGGATATGTTTTTTATATATCTGAGACCTATGCTATTGCCTACAAATAGCACGATAGGTGACCTTTAAATCTGTTAATAAGTTATATTATGGATATCAAATATATATTTTTATATTCTATGAATAAAAAACAGGCTTTCGGGCATTACTATAATAAAGGTATTTATTTTTCCTAGTTTTTCTGCAATTTTGTTGGAATTTTTTACTTTTCCAATGCTTTGCTTTTTTGTGTGTGACATAAAAATGTAAAAGAAAACAACATTTAAACGTCTTGACGTGTTTTAAATGAATCTCAAACTTAACTACATGCACTTTAAAAACAATAAAGGTTTAAGGGCTGTACTGAGTGTCCTTTAAAGCCTCTATCGATGGTTTCAGAGGAAGCTTCAAATGTCTAATCGTCATATGTCATTTTGTGATGAATAAAAGCAGAAGATGTTGAACTTACTTCTCCCCTTTCTTCTGGATCCTCTGTCTCTTCTTCAGACTCAGTTTCTTCCTGAGACGCTTCTTCTTGTTGCCCGGCGCGAGCGGAGAGGCGTCTGCAAACAGGAAAAGAAAACGTGATTAGTATTCAGATATTTTACTTGAGGTTGAATGAGGCAGCAGAATTGCCCCAGTTATTGTAAAGCTAGCGTATCATATATTATAATTAGGGTCAACAAAGACCCGATAGAAACTGTTGTGTATAAAATGAACTTCATGCAAATGAATCATATTTCTGAGAAGTTTTACAAGCTGCAAACCATACATCTGATGTGGCTCTTGTGTATTCACGCGTTTTAACTATATGTATATTTTATAGTATTATGTACAAAGAAAAGGTCTCTTTCAGACATTTCGAATTTTAGGCTGTCTTTTCCATTTTAAAAAGGTGCTGTTCTTTTAAACTTCTTTTACAAATGAACCCCCGATGAATTTAAAGTTAAGTAGGCACGATCTTAAGACCTTAACAATGTGAGTTCTCATAATAGACTGCATTGTTTTTATTAATTAAAAAAAAGTGCGATTTTGTGGCAACTTTTTCGCGCAATTTGCAAGAAACAGGAAGTTGTTGTAGATAATGAACATTATCCAAGCAGCATGAATCATAGCTTCAATATCTCATTTTAATTACGATAACAACACTGTTAATGTTGCAGCCGCTCAAGGTATCATTTTAACTTCCATACTCTTTATACATTACTATCTTGGCTTTTTGGTGTAAAACTTTCATCTGAAAAGTAACTAAAAACACTTCCAGATAAATGTAATAACATTTATTTTATGATATTGACGTATAAAGTAGCCGGAAATGGAAATACTCAAAAACTTCAAAATTGAACTCAAGTTTAGTACTTTAATCAACGCCTATTGATAATTAAAAGGGTAAGAAAGCCTTGAGATATTGAGTATTGCTGTATCACATGTCTAATATATATTACATTGCATTTAGCTGACGCTTTTATCCAAAGCGACTTACAATAAGTGCATTCGACCAACAAGATACAAACTTGAAGAAAACAGAATCAAGTACATCAGGTTTCATAGAGCTAAAACATTTCAAGTGCTACTCAACTGGCTTTAGATAAGCCAGTCCTTTATTAGTATACAAGTGCTTTGTTAGTAATTCTATTGCTCGAAGTGGAGTCCAAAGAGATGAGTTTTCAGTCTGCGCCGGAAAATGTGTAAGCTTATATATATATATAAATAATATATATATATATATATATATATATAATATAATGTAATGTAAAGCGCTTTGAGCTCTTGGAAAAGCTCTAAAATAAATGCTATGAATTATTATCTATTGAAGTTAAATATATATATTTTTTGCATATTTTCTGAATACCTGTTGTCTCTGCATCGCTCCCTGCTGGTTGGTCCTCAGACTGCACCTCCTCCTGACCGTCCACCTTCTTCCCCTTCTTCCCCTTCTTCTTCTTTTTCTCCGGTGTCGTTTCAGCTGGACTCACGAGACCCTCCTCCTCCACCACAGTAACCTCGCTCTCCTCCTCTTCAACATCTTTTGTTTTATTCTTTTTCTTTTTAATTTGATTTGCTGAAGGAGTGACGGGAGTTGCCTCTTCCACTGCATCCGGCTCCATTTTCCTTTTCTTACCCTTCTTCTTCGATGGAGTGGCCTGAGGCATTTCCTTCTCCTCCTCCTTCTCCTCTTCCTTCTCCTCTTCCTTCTTCTCCTCCTCCTCCTTCTCGGCCTCCTCCTCAGGTATCTTTTTGTTTCTCTTTCTCTTCTTGGCGCTCAGAGAGCTGGCTGTATCTGGTGTGGCTGTATCTGGTGTGGCTGTGTCTGGTGTGGCTGTGTCTGGTGTGGCTGTGGATGCGTCTGGGCTCGGTGTTTCCTCCGTCGGCGTGTCTGCATCGGTTTTGCTCTTCCTTTTCTTCCTCTTCTTCGGAGTAACAGCCTCCTCGTCCTCTGTGAGGATGATGAAGACTTCTGGCTCTACTTGCTCCTCCATAGTTGCTTTTTCTGAAGAACAAAATAACAATTCAAGATCTTCTTCTCTGTTTCTGAAATCACAGCATGCATTAACACAAAGGAAGCAGCAACAACATTACAAACATGTCCAACAACGCAGAAATAAGAAGCTAAAATGTTAAAACAAAATGACACAATGCTTGTTTTCGTAAATTAAGAAAACACACACACACACAGGCTGGTGCCAATATAACCTCTCTATCAGTACACCGTGCTTTAATCACCAAATGCTTTCGGTTTCTTGACTTGAAAACAATATAAATATATAACTCCTAGTGGATACAGACATTAAGGAGATAAATATAAATGACCATAAGTCAATAAATCTGCAAGTTATTCATAAAGTAAAAGAGAGAATACTGTGTGTTTAGGTGACAGAGTACTTTGCCATTTGTCATTTGAAAAAACCTTTCAACCTTCATTTACCCGTTAAAAGTTTAAGATTCAAACGTTTGCTTTGGTTAAAATAAATCTCTTTCAAAAGTTGGTTTCCCACTTTATGTTTTGGATACGATAAAAGCACCCTGTACTCGACGTGTTACCGGCTTCAGTGTCGGGATCCTCGGGGGACTTCGTCTGGACTTCAGCTGTCAGCGGGGATGCAAGGTCACCGTCCTGAAGAAACACAGACAGGAGATTTAACACACTGAGCTGTGTGTGTGTGTCTGATTGCCTCCATCAGCTGCTCCAAATCACTCATCATCAGCACCTGCACAAAGGCTGAGGAGCTGCAGCAGTCTCTCTAAATCTAAGTCAAACTATCAAAGTGAGAGGGGAAACCTTTTTTTTAAAATCTTGATGAAGAGATAGAGGTGGGAGAGAGAGGACGCTGGCGTTGTCTTTTCGCCGCTTCCCTGTCCGAAAAAACAAAAATCTTCTCGGTTATTTATCTGCCGAGTTTTGGACCAACGTTTCTACCTCAGTTTCCATACGTTCAGTGGCTTGCACACGCTGTTCTGGACACTTTTGTAACACCCGATCGCAACTTTTTACGGATGCTCCGCTTCCGACCTGTCCACCCTGCTACACCTGCTAATGTTGCTCAGCTGCTCCTGCTTCAGGGCTAACGCTATCGCTAACGTTAGTGGCTCCATCTGACGACAAGCCCGATTCTCCGTCTCATTTTCCCGTTTCGAGTCCCGATCCTGCTTCACTGCATCACCTGCTTAGCTGCTGTTTGATTTTGTTCTGCCGTAAAAGACACAACAACGGTCCTCTCCACCCAGCCACTCTGACGGCGATCAGAAGCTAGCCTAGTTCTACCTGCTCAGGCTAGCCTGCTCTGGCCACCACCGGTGCTCATCTGCGGCAAACATCTTCAACTTCCACCTTCTCTCCTCAGTGCTGTCCGTCCTTGAGTCGCTTCCTGGACAGGCTGTCCTGGTTCATCTGTACTCTTAGCTGATAGCGCATTCTCCCGGCCGATCCGCGACCACAGCTAACGCTGTGCTAACGTTAGCATCACACCATCGTGATGCTTCGTTACTCCGCCTCCCAA